GGTACCAGGGGCATCTCATGGGGTCCCCTACTGACCCCAGGCCCTCGGGCAGTGCCCGAGTTTCCAAATGGTCAATCCACCCCTGCTGCGGGGATCGTCGGAGGGGTGACACCAACCCTAGGGATGCCCTTGGTTGTAGCACTAGTTTAAAGCCCAACTCAGGGCAAAAACCAAACCCATTGCAGTGGGGCTGTGCCTGCACTACAAGGGTTAATAGCTTGTTTTGTCTAGGGAAGGGGAAAAACCATTTTATTTACCTGAGCTGCAACTCCCCCACAATTCTGCGATGGCCTTTCCCTTGGCATCCTCACATCCAGAGCAGGGCTATGGACCCTGTTTTGGTCTTGATGAGGTCAGGACCCTAAAGCACAGGGGTGCAAAAGCAGCAGGAAGGAGAGAAGGATCCCTTTTTCCGTTCCAGACATTAATGAGCAATTAACCCTTAAGACAATTGATTAAGACATCACTTTTTTTTTCCATAATAAATTTTTATTTGTTTTTACAAATGGTTACAACAACAAAAAAAACAAAAATAGGACAGTGAAAAGCTACACAATATCACAGTATAGGTGCTGCGGTAAAGTTCAACAAAGAGAAAAAAGGAAATATTGAATAATTCCTAACAATCCCACTAATTCCACGAAATAATCATTTTAGAGTATCAAAGAAAAAGTTAAAAATAATAACTTAGGTTACAGTCCTGAACCAGTCGGACCAGGGTTTCAAGACATCATTTTTTATTTGCCTGGAGTTGGGCTTTAGCTTGTAGCTGCAACAGATTGCTTCTTAAAATGATATCCTTGTTCTCCAAAAATAATCCAAACACATCTACTGCTAAAACGCTCCATTTTTCATTAAATAATTTCCTTCTCTTTTTTATCTGTCTCTTTATAATGTCCCCATGTGAGCTCCCAAACCTCTCTTTTTCTTCCTCACCTTTTATTTTAAAAGAACAGTGCATGGTAGTTGCAATCATGCTGTATGCACTCTGCAAATCCAATAGTCCATCTCGGGCAAGCAAGAGAGGGTGGCTTTGTTCTACATACAGAGGGACCATGGAGAACAAACATAGCCACCCTGTAACAGGAAGTCAGATCACAGCAGTCAAAAAAAAAAAAGAATTTTAGATGGCTGGAAACAATAGAAGATACTTCTTAAAGTTAAAGCAGAGTTCCAGTTGAAAAAAAAAGCAGCTAAAAAACTACCTGCTGACTTTTAAAATACAGACACTTACCTGTCCCTCGGTCCAGCGGTGTCCTCACCACTACTGGTTTCACCGGCCGTCTTCTCTCCCTGGCGCCGGCATCTTTAGTGTGGGCTGCCGGCTGTGGCAGCTTGCGACTTCACAGCTGGGTGCCCACTGCACATGTGTGAGAAGCACTGCGTTTTGTGAATGGCGCCGTAGTCTTCTGGGACCTGTCACGTGTCCCAGAAGGCTACAGGGAGGGAGTGGAGGAGGACAACTTCCACTTCCGATTGCCTAGGCGATCACAGCAGAATTGGGAGGGGGTACCTGTCAAATTCGGGCACTCGCTCCCCTAAGGTGCCAATCCTTAATGGGGAGTGGGGGAGAAAGCATTAAAGCAGAACTTCCCCTTTTGGGTGGAACTCTGCTTTAAGAATATATACTTCAATATAATTGTTTGTTTGTTTTTCGTGACAGAGTTTTGTGTCACTTTGACTACAAACTGCCAGGAACTCTGATGAATAAATTACTAGCTACAAGTCGCTGTTAATCCCTGGCATTGGTGATTTGTAGCATTGTTTAATTGCTGCTACAAAATCGCCCATCTGGAATGACCCCAAAGAACTCCAAAAAGGTTGAAGTAAACCCTTACTAAATCACATTTAGTTTGCTAAAGTGCTGTGAATCATAAAGAGACATACAGTGAAGGAAATAAATATTTGATCCGCTGCTGATTTTGAATGTTTGCACACTCACAAAGAAGTGATCAGTCTGAAAATTGAATGGTTGGTGTATTGAAACACTGAGAGACAGAATAGCAACAAAAAATTCAAAGGAAATGCATGTCTAACAAATTATGCACTGATTTGCATGTTCATGAAGGAAATAAGTATTTGATCCCCTATCATTCAGCAGGATTTCTAGCTACCAGGTGTCTTTCATACAGGTAACAAGCTGAGATTAGAAGCAGTCTCTTAAAGGGAGTGCTGCTAATCTAATTTTGTTACCTGTATAAAAGACACCTGTCCACAGGAGCAATCAAACAATCAGATTCCAAACTCATCCCAGAACTACACGTGAGGATCTTGTCAATGATCTCCAGGCAGCTGGGACCACAGTCACCAAGAAAACAATTGGTAACACACTACGCCGACAAGGATTGAAATCCTGCAGTGCCCGCAAGGTCCCTCTGCTCAAGAAAGCACATGTCCAGGCCCATCTGAAGTTTGCCACTGAACATCTGAATGATGCAGAGGAGGACTGGTTGAAAGTGTTGTGGTCAGATGAGACCAAAATCGAGTTCTTTGGCATCAACTCAACGCCGTGTTTGGAGGAGGAATGCTGCCTATGACCCCAAGAACCCCATCCCAACTGTCAAACGATGGTGGAAACATTCTGCTTTGGGGGTGTTTTTCTGCTAAGGGGACAGGACAACTGCACCGCATCAAAGGGACGATGGACGGGGCAATGTACTGTCAAATCTTGGGTGAGAACCTTCTTCCCTCAGCCAGGGCATTGAAAATGGGTCGTGGATGAGTGTTCCAGTATGACAATGACCCAAAACACACGGCCAAGGCAACAAAGAAGGGGCTCAAGAAGAAGCACATTAAGGTCCTGGAGTGGCCTAGCCAGTCTCCAGACCTTAATCTGACTGAAAATCTGTGGAGGGAGCTGAAATTTCAAGTTGCCAAATGTCAGCCACCAAACCTTAACTACTTGGAAAGGATCTGCCAAGAGGAGTGGGAAAAAATCCCTCCTGAGATGTGTGCAAACCTGGTGGCCAACTACAGGAAACGTCTGACCTCTCTGATTGCCAACAAGGGATTTGCCACCAAGTACTAAGTCATGTTTTGTGAAGGCGATCAAATACCTATTTCCCTCGTGAACATGCAAATCAGTGCATAATTTGTTAGACATGCATTTCATTTGAATTTTGTGTTGCTATTCTATCTCTCAGTGTTACAATACACCTACCATTCGATTTTTAGACTGATCATTTCTTTGTGAGTGGGCAAACATTCAAAATCAGCAGGGGATCAAATACTTATTTCCTTCACTGTAGTTTTTCTTTTAATAAAATAGTTTTCACCTTTTATCCTTTGGTACATCTCAATGCTGCTGATCTCCTGCAGCCTCTTTGCAGCCACTTCCTGACTACATGTACTCTAGCAATGACTGTGTGGCCATTCTCAGGGTGGTCTTCCTAATGATGTCAATTAGGGCTTGTTCACACCACACAGCATGTTTTTAATGCACATAACGCATGTATATCAATGTGCACTGCAGTGCATTGTTAGAACACATTGCAGTGCTTGCTTTTTTTCCTTATTTTTTTTTAAACACTTAGGCCCCAGGGTCGTTTTCTCCCTAAATCCCATTAAGCCCCAGAGTTTTTTTTATTTTTAATTTTGATGTTTCAATTCCGCATGTTATATCTTTTACAAGTCCATCCTATTGTGTAATACATGTTTTTTTCAAGGGCTTTAACATAGTAGAAAATTTGGATACATATATTTTTATTTTATTGGTGTTTGTTGGGAATTATAAATAATTAGAAAAATTGTGTTTTCCCTAATGCAACGTTTATGTAAGTTGTACAGCCCCATATATTTACCCCCAAAATATAATATACAAAGTCTGCTGATTAAAAAAGGCAAAGCCTTGCCTCATTCACTCAGCAAAGGGGACATTCCTTTGCAAAGTACATATTCCCTTGCAAAGTGAAAAGCCTATTTTCATTTAGAAAACCAACCCTTTGTCTTCTAGTGCATTTCTGTATATTTATAGTGTTAAATATGTATAAGCATAAAAATGAAAGTGGCAGTAACCATTTATTTTAAAAAATACTGTGCTTGCTCTTTATATTCCATCCAGACCGAGCCATGCAGCCTGGGTGACCTGAGGGCAGAGCAGGCCCCCCCCCCTTCCTGTACCAAACCAGGCCACATGCCTTTCAGCATTGGGGGGGTTGCCCAAACCCTCCCCTTGCAAAGTACCCTTGTTCCAATGTTGAGAAGCAAGGTCCTCTTCTCCACCTCAAAAAACTCAAAAAGGAGGTGGGGGTAATATGGGGGGACTTATGGTGGAATGTTGAGGCCCCCTTTATAATAAGGGGGTGACCAGATACCCACCCCCCTCCCAGAGGAATGAATACAGAGGTGAATTATTTACTTTTAACCCTTTGTCAAAATGGGTAAAAAATACTAAACACACAGAATATAAATGTCCTTTAACTTCCCTAGAGGTCTGTTTATGTCCATATTTCTGTGCTCAAAGCGGTACATTTTTTTGCATGGAAATATGTATTTCTTTTATTGTAGGCCTGTAATTTTTAGGAATAACTCACTGAAATCTGTCCGAACGAGTCTAGTAAACATCCCGGGTATGTTACAATTTGAAACACAAAATCATAAATTATACTTTAATAAATAATCATAAAAAATAATAATATAATAATAAATTTAATTATATAATTAAACCAAAAACACTGAAATTTGAAATTGAGCGCCAAGTTTGCACATCACTGAGCAAAGTCGCAAAATCGTTTTCAGTGACAAATTTCCCCACAAATCATTATCATTCAATTCTGCAAGTAGTTCTAATTTATTATCGCTGTCCTCTAGCTGGTCTAAAACCGATTTTGACCTAAAGGGACGCTTTTTGGACGCCATGGACATTTCTCAGTTTCCAGGTAGAAAGAACAGTAAAAATGTAGGCAGGGCACAGGACAAAGCACTCGGGACAAAATGTATATGAAATGGTTTGATACAGTAATGTTTTACTATGTGATTTTAGTGTATTTAGTGAATGTCAGTTTTTGTCATTTTCAAATTTCCTGCCGTTCCGTCCCCGTCCGTCCCGACGCTCGCAGGGGACGGAACCCAGATGACAGATGCCGGCATCCGCCGGAGGACATTGCCTGGGACACTGCAGGAGGGACATCGCGGGAGTGCAGGACAAGGTAAGTGATCGAGGGATTCTGGAGCAATGCCGCATGGTAAGCTCAGGGTTACCGCTTGTGGTACTGAAACTTTACCCCGAACTACACTCGGGAATACCGCCAGGGGGGCTAATTAAAACACAAACACATACTGTACTTATCTGCTTTTAAAATAAACTTTATCAATGTCCTCAGAAGTAATTCCACATCATTTGTGATGTCCAGCAAAGTGATCCACTGCAATCATGGCGTCCAGCGATGTAAACCCTGCATCAATCATAATGCCGCACTCATGTCGCTAAATGACTCCTGGCTGTGGGAACTGTTACTTTAAGGTTGAAGTCAGAGCAGTGTATTATAATGATATATATATATTAAGAGCTATCAAATGTATTTTGTTTCCTAATGTTTCTAATTAGCATTGTAAATTCAATAAAGTTTCACTACAACAAAGAATAAAAAGATGTGTAGATGTATTATTCCAAGTGTTGCCTATTGCTTTGTGTGTCCAGTATAACATTTTGCTACCTCTATGATGAGTCTCTGCAACTCTACCTGTTATACTGTATAGCTGGCTATAGAAGGATCAAAATATGGTTTGTACAACAGGGCAGTGGTGTAGTTTGGTTTTGTGCTGCCCTGCAATAAGGCCCCTCCATCGAAACTTGTCCCACCCCTTCCTGTTTAAGATCCACCCCCATCTGTAAACTCCGCCCCTTCCTTTTTGGGCTCCACCTCTTTCTATTAGCATTCCACCTCAGGAGTTGGGCAGAGACTGCAGATATAGTACAGGAGTTGGGCAGAGACTGCAGATATAGTACAGGAGATGGGCAGAGACTGCAGACATAGTACAGGAGATGGTCGGAGACTGCGAACATAGTACAGGGTACGGAAGATGGTCGGAGGCTGCGGACAGGATACGGGAGAAAGTAAGAGACTGCGGACATACTACAGGAGACAGTCAGAGACTGCGGACATACTACAGGAGACGGTCAGAGGCTGCGGACAGGATATGGGAGATGGTCAGAGACTGCGGACATGGTACAGGATATGATCAGAGACTGCGGACATACTACAGGAACAGGAGACTGCGGACAGGATACGGGAGACGGTCAAAGACTTTTGGACAGGATACGGGAGAAGATTAGAGACTGCGGACATAGTACAGGAGACAGAGACTTTGAGACAGGATATGGGAGAAAGTCAGAGACTGAGGACATACTACACAAGATGGACAGAGACTGTAGACATACTACAGGAGATGGTCAGAGACTGCAGACATAATACAGGAGATGGTCAGAGACTGCGGACATAGTACAGGAGATGGTTAGAGACTGCGGACATAGTACAGGAGATGATCAGAGACTGTGGACATACTAGAGGAAACGGTCAGAGACTGCGGACATACTACAGGAGATGGTCAGAGACTGCGGACATACTACAGGAGATGGCCAGAGACTGCAGGCATACTACAGGAGATGCTAGAGACTGCAGGCATACTACAGGAGATGGCTAGAGACTGTGGGCATACTACAGGAGATTGTCAGAGACTGCGGACATACTACAGGAGATGGCCAGAGACTGCGGGCATACTACAGGAGATGGCCAGAGACTGTGAGCATACTACAGGAGTTGGTCAGAGACTGCGGACATACTACAGGAGATGGCCAAAGACAGCAGACATACTACAGCAGATGGTCAGAGACTGCGGACATAGTACAGGAGATAGTCAGAGACTGCGGACGGAATGGTCAGCCGAGCTTGTCCCTCCCGCTCGAGCCCTGCTGACATTTCGATCCATTTATTGCCATTCCCATTAAAGAGAAGTCAAACTATAAGCTTCTCTCGAGCAGGAATGTTGTAAAATTTTCAATTGGCTGCAGAGCGGATTAGTGTATTAGTAGTGGAGGAGTCCCCACTGTCAGACTACAATAACTCAGTGGGGAAAATTCCCTCATCCACATCATTTGCATGGATGGAGGAATGGGTTTGTATTTTTTTAAGTAAGGACTATTTAGTTAAGGTCGTATATGTCAAAATGTATCACTTAAATACAGAATACGCCATCAGGAGTATACACCCTGTTCCAAATTATTATGAAAATTCTATTTAAGTGTCACAAAGATTAAATATTTTATTTTTCAGTGTAACTCAAGGATGGCATTGTGTCTCAGGGCTCTTTTGATCACTGAAAACAATCTCGGACACCTGTGATAATTAGATTGGCAGGTGAGCCCAATTTAAGGAAAAACTACTAAAGGAGGGTGTTCCACATTATTACGCAGAGCACCATTTTCAAGCAATATGGGGAATAAAAAGGATCTCTCTGCTGCTGAAAAGAGTGAAATAGTTCAATGCCTTGGACGAGGTATGAAAACATTAGATATTTTACAAAAACTTAAGCGTGATCATCGCACTATTAAGAGATTTGTGCTGATTCAGAGCACAAACAAGAGATCCCTGTGCTCAAATCCATACTGCTAGTGCATGCATTTATCCATCAGGTGCTAAAGGGGTGTAACCACATTAACTCTAGAAATTCTGAAGGACCCTCTGCACACTGGTATATACCCTTTCAAGCAAACTATGCAATAAATAGGGATATTTGGTTCACACATATTGCAATACATGCTTAAGCTGGCCAACTTAAGCATGTATTGCAATATGTGTGAACCAAATATTCCTATTTATTGCATAGTTTGCTTGAAAGGGTATATACCAGTGTGCAGAGGGTCCTTCAGAATTTCTAGAGTTAATGTGGTTACACCCCTTTAGCACCTGATGGATAAATGCATGCACTAGCTGTATGGATTTGAGCACAGGGATCTCTTGTTTGTTGTATTGTTGGGTCAGTAGCCAGACCTGAACCTTGTAGCTCTCCCCATTGTGTCTTTTCCCCTATGCTAGCATTGTGTCCACAGTAGCACTTGCGTAGGCAGGGCAGAGTAGGACTGGCCATAGAGGGATTACTTTGACGCAGTTGGCCAGCTTAAGCATGTATTGCAATATGTGTGAACCAAATATCCCTATTTATTGCATAGTTTGCTTGAAAGGGTATATACCAGTGTGCAGAGGGTCCTTCAGAATTTCTTGATTCAGAGCACAGATGGGTTCGTGCAGATAAAGGCACATTGAGGAAGATTTCTGCCAGATCCATGCATCGGATGAAGAGAGCAGCTGCTAAAATACCATTACATAGCAGCAAACAGATATTTGAAGCTGCTGGTGCCTCTGCAGTCCCACGGACATCAAGGTGTAGAGTCCTCCAGAGTCTTGCAACTGTGCATAAACCTATTCAGCCACCACTAACCAATGCTCACAAGCAGAAACGGCTGCATTCGGCAGAAAAATACATGAAGACTAATTTTCAAACAGTCCTGTTCACTGATGAGTGCTGTGCAACCCTGGATGGTCCAGATAGACGGAGTAGTGGATGGTTGGTGGACGGCCACCCTGTTCCAACAAGGCTGCGGCATCAGCAAGGCAATGGTGGAGTCATGTTTTGGGCCAGAATCATGGGAACAGAGGTGGTCAGCCCCTTTAGGGTCCCCGAAGGTGTAAATATGACCTCTGCAAATTATGTGGAGTTTATGACTGACCACTTTCTTCCCTGGTACAGAAGGAAGAACTATGCTTTCTGTAATAAAATCATCTTCATGCATGACAATGCACCATCTCATGCTGCAAAGAATACCTCTGCATCAATGGCTGCTATGGGGATAAAAGGAGAGAAAGTCATGGTGTGGCCTCCATCCTCCCCTGACCTCAATCCTATTGAGAACCTTTGGAGCATCCTCAAGCAAAAGATCTATGAGGGTGGGAGGCAGTTTACATCAAAACAGCAGCTCTGGGAGGCTATTCTGACATCTTGCAAACAAATTCAAGCAGAAACTGTCCAAAAAAGTTCAATGGATGCAAGACTTGTGAAGCTGCTATCAAATAAGGGGTCCTATGTTAAAATGTAACGTGACCTGTTAAAATGTTTAAAAAGTTAAAATGTTGTTAAAAGTTTGATTGAAATAGCTTTTGATTTCAGTAAATATACTGCAAACACAACAAATGACAATTTTCAGTTCTTTACAACCTATAAAGTGTTTTGAAACTTACTGTGCATAATAATTTGGAACAGTGCATTGGAAGTTGTTTATGTTTAAAATAAATACTGTTATCATTAGGAGGTTTGTTCAATAAAATTTGAATTGTACTCTTAATAATTGATAACATGAGAAGTATGCTGACTGTTATTTACATCAATTATTTAGGTAAATGAGAAAAATATAATTTGCATAATAATTTGGAACAGGGTGTAGTTACAAATGGTACAGGAAAAGTAGGTCGATTTGGGGGGGGGGGAGGAGGAAGCAGGCATACACGCCAACAGCCAACTATTCCAAATCGTGGCATTAACAGAAGATAACCGATGTGATTGGAGGCTACCTGGGTGCCAACATCCCTGAAATAGTCTATCCAACAAACTGTACCATAGGTGTATGAGACTTTCTGGGCACCAAATATAATACAAAAACAGAAAATACATATTAAACAAGTTTTTAACTTCTTCATTACAGAACATCAAACCAATTCTCAAAGCAAACTCTTATAAGTGGAAGAGTAAAACTATAAAAATATTCCTGACTTTATAAAAAAATAATAATTATAGACAAAACTAAACAAAAATGTATTACAAAATACAAGATGTTACTCTAAGTCCTGGTTCACACTGGTGCGACTTTGAAATCGCGTTACTTCAGAGTGATTTCAAAGGTGCAGATGAGTGCAATTTGCACCTTCAATTTCGTCCTGCGACTTTGTCTAACAGAAGTTTATGCAAGTCAATGAAATCAGAAAAAAGTAGTGTTGAAACCTTTTTCAAAGTCACTGTGACATGAGTCATGGTAATTTGAATGATTTCATTGCCAGAAATGGTGTGTGACTTGTCATGCAATTTGGAACTGTCAAATCACATGACAAATCGCACCAGTGTGAAGAGGCCTAAATGTTCACAAATTCATAGAGAGGTTAGCAATTTCAAGCCTACAGATGAACGGTAAAAACAATAAGCCTGGTAGTGTGGTGTGATGCGACCCCATGGTGAAAGGATCCCAAAAAGGACAATTGTAAATGAAGAAATTCAGAGGAAGGCTAAGAAATCTTTAAAATGATCTAAATATATATATATATATATATATATACTATATA